TAAGCAGTTGCAAAGGATTCACTCTCCAGGCTACTGCAAATAAAACTCTTACACTTTTAAATGCAGACATTGAAATGTAAATACCGTGGTGATTGAATACACATTATCTTCCAATCCATAATGCATAAAGTAGTTAGTCTCTAGTATTTAGAAATATTCATTGTTCCTTTTATTCCTTAAACTAATATTTTGATTTTCCTTCCCAAAAGATTTCTATTCTAAGTTATTCTATACTTTAAAGCCATGGATTACGTTTTTCTGCAATGAAACAGAACAATAATTTATTTTAAAATTTCAATTACCATTATTGTCCAAAGTTACCTTTACAAATAAAACTAGTAAAAATTGGGCAAAACAAATTTTGTTAGTCACAAAGAATAACATTTTATTGGAAATGTAATTCTTAGTAGGATAGACAGGGCATATTTTCATAAAACTTTTTAAAAATTGAAGTAGTTTTTAATAAAACTCAGACTTGTAAAATAACAAGGTGACAGAAGCATAGAGGATCCCAGAAAAAAGCCATTCTCTCTGGTTTGTCTGGCAAAGTCTTCCCAGAGAAAATGTCACCCATATAGGATCTAAAGATTAAAAGGCATTCTTTGGTCAAATAAAGTAGACAAAGAAAACTCTAGGCAGAAGGAACAGTGTGTGCAAATCTTGGAGAATGGTAAAAATGTACCCTGTCTAGGCATCAGGTATTTTTGGACATGATAAATTTGTGATGCCTAGTAGATATTGAAATAAAATCTGAATGGAATTTGGGGTCTTGTTAGCAATTGAATTTGAGAATGTAAATGTTAGTGGATAGGTTTGGGCTGCTGATAAATTGTATTCAAAGTTTATAAAGCAACCCAAGCTTAGATGTGATCATGTATTAAGTAAGGGTAGGCAGAAGAGAGAATTTCAAACACTGCAAACTGGAGCACTTCAATATTTGAACATCAGGGGAGAGAGAAGGAGACAGTAAAGGAGAATGCAAAAGGTGGCCAGTGGTTCCCTAGAAACCAGGGAAAGAGAAAAAAAGTCATCTGAGGTCAAATACTGCCACCTTGAGAAGGTGAGCAATGAGAAATTACCATTTTTATTGCCCTTTTAATTCCTGGTTAAAGTGCCTTTTTAATATAAGGGCTTCCTAGAAATGATATTTAAAATGTTCAAGAGTTGTTTTCTTTGTCATCACTCTATATTTTTTATTTCTTGTTTTATTAGATTACATTTAGATAAATTGGCTGAGCAAAAACATCTGTTTTTATTAGGTTTTTCTTTTTAGTCAAATACGTGGATATAAGGAAATGACATATAATTACATGTTTTTTAATTTCAGGCTGCTTCCTATTTCTCCCTTTTAGCCTTGCTGACTTGATTTTCTTTTCTTTCTTGCAACCACTTTCCTGCCTTGAATATTAATTTGGAATTTATATTTCATAGCTCAGTCTATTTTTTCCCTAACGAACATATTGATATACAACATAACATAATCATCAAGCCTCCTTAGCTGAGGGATATTTCCCTCCTCCGGCTCATGCTTTGCATATTCAGTCCTCAAACAAACATGACAAGCCATTGGTGTTTCTCAAGTAATGGGAAAGCATGGTTCGCCTAGTTAGTTTTTACTCTTATGGGTAATTTTAAACTCCCGGGAACCCAAATGACCTTCTTATAAAGTCTCTTTTTTCTGGAATTACTGGTAAAACATGAATGTCCTTTCTCAAGGTGTTTTATTTTATTTTTTAAATATATGTTTTTATTAATTTCAGAGAGAGAAACAAAGAGGGAAAGAAATACAGAAACATCAATGATGAGAGAGAATAATTGACCCGCTGAGCCCTGCACGGCCACTACTGGGGACTTAGCCTGCAGCATGGGCATGTGCCCTGACCAGGATTTGAACCATGACCTCCTGGTGCATAGGTCGACGCTCAACCACTGAGCCACACCAGCGAGGCTCTCAAGGTATTTTTAGATCTCAAGAGGAAACCCAAAGGTTTTGTGGTAGGCCTCCTCAGGGAACCAGCAAAATCTTATATTCACAATGACCTGGATGAGCGGTGGGTTTGATCTGTTGTCCTTACTTCTTTTGGTGATAAAGACAATGAATCCTCACCCAGGAATTAAAGAGTAGGGCCTGATATAAAGCCAACACTTTTTCACAGTTCCCTCTATTTACTCCAAAATTCTGTATTCTAGCCCTGGCTGGGTGGCTTAGTTGGTTGCAGCATTGGACCATACCTAGGTTGCAGGTTCTTATGGGAGACAACTGATCAATGTTTTTCTCTCTCTCTAAAAATCAATAAACATATTCTCAGGTGAGGATTAAAAAATGAAAAAAACTGTATTCTAAAGTTGTCTTTATTTAACCTTAAATCCAAAAATAAATACCTGTATGTGACAAATGACCCGGACACTAAATTTACTTGGGAATGAATTTGACACTAAGTGTTAGTCGAAATAATTTGCATGATTATTTGGCATTTCAGTAAAACATGCTATGATTAAAATAAAGAATTAAGGATAAGTCAAATGGTGGCTACTGCAAGATTTTTTTGTGAAGCAAATATTTAATGATTTAATCATTAGTAGGATAAATGGGGTTAATTAGGTGATGAAAAACCAATGATTAAGTGGTATACTACATGGCATAAGAAAGAAAGATAAAATAATATTGAAGGTCACCATTCCTATATTATCTTATATGTGTCAGGCACTGTGCAGAGGATTTTACATATGTTAGCGGCCCAGTGATGGCAAACCTATGACACGCGTGTCAGAGGTGACACGCGAACTCATTTTTTTGGTTGATTTTTCTTTTTTAAATGGCATTTCAATATATAAAATAAATATCAAAAATATAAGTCTTTGTTTTACTATGGTTGCAAATATCAAAAAATTTTTATATGTGACATGGCACCAGAGTTAAGTTAGGGTTTTTCAAAATGCTGACACACCGAGCTCCAAAGGTCCGCCATCACTGTGTTAGCCCCTTTAAAGCTCACACCTACACGATGAGGTAGGCAGTGTTATTTTCTCCATTTTACCAAAAAAGAAGCTGGAACACAGGCAGGTTAAGGACGTCTCCAAAACTACACAGCCAGTAAGGGGTGGATATAGAGTTATATGTACCAACATAGAAGAACGGAATGATATTTCATAAAGAGAGAAAAAAAATCTCAAGGTAAAAAGTAGATGCATAAAGTGTAATTCACATTTCTATAAGAAACAAAGTTTGCTTGTATGTGGTACATGTGTTTGTGAAAGGGAAAATATAGAGCATCATACTACTAAAGAGAGGATTTTGATGTTGAAATTTCTACTTTTGGTCTGTTGCATTATGGTATTAAAAAATTATATATATATATATATATATATATAAATTTTTGAACTGCTATTATATATATGTACTATATATACATATATATATAAATTTTTCAAATGTCATTTTTCATACCTATGTTATAGATAGCACTAATTCCAAACATTTGTTATTATTGATAGCAATTCTAATTATTTATGCTGTTGGAAAAAGTTTATTTAATATCAAAAGTAATATTTTAAAATATTTGATGGATTTTCCAGTTAATTCCTTTCTACATTTGCTGCATTGATTTCCTTTCTTTTGTCCATCCCCCTCTCACATCATCTCCCCATATTAGAGTTTTCTTATTTGAGAGAAACAAGTTTCGGACATCACCATCTGGATTTCGATTTTTGAAGTTTAATTAAATACATGAGGATGTTGCCAAGAACGTAAACCTCTCTGCTTGCTCATCTGAAGCTAGCTAGAGTGTGGGAGTTTTCTTGTGTATAAGGGTTAGAGAGCACAAAAATTCAAACTTCTTTACTAGATAGTTGGTACTAACATTCAGCTAACTTTCAATACACATTGTTTATGACATTCTCAGTTTCTTTCAGGAGATTTTAGAAATTAATATTATGCATCCCACCTTTCCATCATGTTATATTATGGCAAATTAATTTCCATGAAAAGTGATACAAGGAAAAATATAATTTTGCTGAGATGTGAAATAAATTATGTAATAAATTTGAGAGACAAAATACTTTGAGAAACCCATCAATAATTCAGTTTCAATAATGCTAAAACAGTGTCTAAATATAGTTCATCATAAATTTTGTTGTTTAAATTTATAGAGGTTTTTGCTTTTTTTAGGGCCAAACAACATTTCCTAAAATTTGAGTGTTGATCAGAAGGATATAAGGATTTAAGCAACTATTAATCAGTATCTCCCAGACACTTCTATATAGTTCCTATTGAATGTCAATCTGAAATCAGTTCTCTAATAAGCGAAGTAATATGTCCATTGGTCTGCTATACTAAAAAGTCATAGACAGAAATATAATTGAATATGCATTATTTCCTTTGGAATTTATGAAAGTTTTGCACAATGAGAGAAAAAAATCAAGCAATCTTTGATATACAATGTAAATAACTCCCAAAAGAAATCACAAGGCCTGTTCTTATTTATTTTTGTTTTAAAAATATTTTAAGTATGCAAAGGTATTTCTTATTTGTACCTTAACCTTAGTTATTCATAAACACCCACTGCCTAAACAAGAAATAGGATTTATTTATGAATATTATTCTTTGTTGTTAGAAAAAAGAAATATGAAATTTGTAATACAAAGGAAGAAAGAAACACAGATACTTAATTAACCTGAAATAGGATGACACCCACATAAAAATATTTTTATAACCTGATATAAATATTAAAAACAAGGAGTAATGAGTATTACTAAACTATATATGCCATATAATATAAAATGCTCAAAGACATAAAATCATTTTAATTATTTATATTTTTCTGAAAGGCACTCACACATCACTTTTTCTTATTCTGACAGATACACATAAATAATGCCATTATTCACTATTTTTACCTTATTAACCACATTGATGCTCTATTATATCAGTCTCAATAAAAATAAGTAAGCCAAGTGCAATAAATGTTAAAAAAAAAAAAAGCATAGACAATGCTACTTACCGACACATAGGACCACTTTTCTCCACCACACAAGTTCCACCATTTCTGCAATAAGCTATTGGACACTCTAAAAAAAGCACCACAAAATACCAATGTTAATTATAAATATTACCAGAGGCCCATTTGTGTACTCGGGGGGAGGGTCCCTCCACCCAGATTGTGAGAGGGCGCAGGCCAGGCAAGGGACCCCACAGGTGCATAATCAGGGCAGAGGAGGGATACGGGTGGTTGGCCAGCCAGGGAGGGACTGCAGGAGGGCTCCAGGGCATGTCTGGCCTGTCTCACTCTGTCCTGATCAGCTGGACCCCAGCAGCAAGCTAACCTACCAATCAGAGTATCTGCCCCCTAGTGGTCAGTGCATGTCATTCAAGCAATTGAGTGGCCTTAGCATCTCATTAGCATATTATGCTTTGATTGATTGAACGGACGACCAGATGACCAGACACTTAGCGTATTAGGCTTTTATTATGTAGGATTAGCAAGATAATGGTCATATCACTGTTAGTCATTGCATTAAATATAATCATCTACATATATAAAAGCCTAAGCGACTGTTCCACTGGTAGCTATGACATGCACTGACCACCAGGGGGCAGATGCTCCAACCTTTCTGCTGGGGTCCAGCCAATCAGGACTGGATGAGATGGCTGTACATGTCCTGGAGCCCTCCAGCAGTCCCTCCCCAGCCCCAACAGTGCACCAATGGGGTCCCTCAGCCGCCACTGGACTTCTAGTTTAAAATAAATTGCTTCCTAATTACTAGAAGCACATGAATTCTCCTAGGCTTCTTTCCTGTAGCCCTAAACTTATTCTGTGGCCCCTACTTCCTGGGATGTGTTCATTCTCTTCACATACCTGAGGGGTGGACCAGATAAGTAGACTTATCGCCTGGGTTAGGAAATGTGATTTGCTTTTCCAAGGATATATTCACCGTCTTGCCTATGCTTACTCCTCCCTGTTTAACTAATTTCAATAAGGAGCAAGGTGCTGAAGACAAGAATAAAGAGCTTTACTCCTCAGGCACCAGGGGCATGCTCAACTGAATAGAACAGATGCAAAATTTTCTTCATAAACAAGAAATTAGCTGGTTTTATTAAAAATAGCCAACCAATATGATGAAGCATATGTAGATACAATCTTTATGGTTATTTTTGGTCTTAAGTACAATTATAGTCTTCCTTAAATAAGAGGTTTGTTTTACTAAAACACCAGTCAAGTGTCTGATACTTGCAAAGTAAAATACACACAGATGCACATTTTTTCCTAGGGTTATTAATAATTACTTTGATTGTAGTGAGTAACATATACATCAGAATTATTCTGTGAGAATCTAGATAGGTACTCCCTTGCACTGAATAATGGAGCACCTTGTAAAGCAGAGTGGTATTGGTCAGAACAAGAAGTGAATCCTGGTATTGTGGAGGACAGACGATTTATAGATTATCTCTAATGAGTTCTTATAAGTTTCTGCCTTTGAGCCAGATTCTTTATTCATAAAAATGGAAAGACAGTACACAGTATTTGCATCTTCAATTTACTCAAAACAGTTTAGAGAAGAGGGTAGATGAAAAGGAGAAGGACATGGGTATGACCAGTTAGTACTGAAAAGACTAAATATATCTCCAGTAGATAGTTCCCAAGATTGGAACTAGGAATCTATGGGGTTGTTTTTAGAATTAGTGCAGGTTCCCAGGCCCTGTAGCCACACTGATTTCTCACTGCCTTATACTCCTTTGTATTGGTTATTATGACATGTGTCTGGAGGTCCATACAACTCATGGCTGACTTTATAGAACAATCATTCTTTGAAAAATTCAAGTTCAATCCCAATGTGGTGTATCACTTTGGAAAAACAGGAACACCTATAAAATGGGCAAGTGATCAATTTAAAAACAAAAGTAACTTTTAAGCTTAAATATAAACAATTTGCAACTAGGCACCTTTCTTTGTTGTTGCTATTGTTTCTCTCAATGTGTACAGAGACTAAGGGAGTGACAGCTATTACGAGGTGGATTGTTGGGAAGACATAATCATGTGAGTCTTGGTTTTCCCTCCCTGATAACTACTCAGTTAATAAGCTGTGTGACCTTGGGCTAGGTATTTTAGTTATAAAGTTCTTCATGTTTAAAGTGAGGATTATTTCACCTTCCTTATGGGGCTGCTGGAAGGATAAATTAAATTTATAACATTTCTATACTAGTCAATGGTATGCATAAGTATTAAAACAATTGTTCTGATGCATCCTTCTATTTTGGGGCGTTCTTTGAATGTGCCATGAAATCTAATTCTCATTACCAGTGTACTCACTCTCCATCTTCTCATCTTTCTTTTCTTCCCAGCCATTTACTGCAGACCTGCTCTGTCATAATCTGCCCTAAGAGTTTTACCGGTGTTACCTCATTTAATCCTCATAACATTATGTGGTATATCCCATACTTATCCTTTCTTACAGAGGACACTGGTTAATGATGTAATGCTCAAGTTAACAGCAAGGAAGCAGCAGGTATTGAACTAAATTCTGGTCCTCTCACTCCAAAGCCTGTCAATTTAAAAATGTCAAATGACCCATTATTCAGTTCAGAATTTCTATAACCCCTTGCAGTTCTTGGCATTATGGGATCATAAACCCCTTTCAATCATGTTGTCGTTATGCAGTGCCGTGGGTTAAATAGCCATGTACACAATAAACAGCAGCGCGGTTTTAGGAGCTGTCTGGATTTTAAGAGTCCACCAGAAAGCTTGTGCAGCAAACCAAGTTCCCAGTTGGCACAGACTGTCCTCTTTATCTTAAAATCCCAGCACAGAGCCTGCAGAAAAGATTACTGCTGCTAAGAAACTTGAAATAGCTTCACAGTACTTACATGAGAAGTTTTTGTTTTGTTTTCATTTGGTTTTAAAAAACCGTCTGAAATGTTATTTTGCTATATTATTATTAGTAGTAGTAGCATTTTATTATTCATATATTAAATTATATTCATAATATTTTATCCTGTAAATTTAAATTTTAGTGTCTTTTCCTAATTCTCCTTCAAATAGCTGATTATTATAATGACAGTATCACCATTGCATAACCTTAATTAACCTCTACTACTGCAAATGACTGGAAAAAGACTTTCAACTTAAAATTAGGCCGGACAAATTCTGTTTAATGATTTTCTATTGCATAAACAGCCAAACTTGAAAATAGTATGTCTTTCTATTGAAACTTGGGAATAGGACTCATAGAAAAAACTTAACCTGCAATACCCATACATTGCCTGAGCTTGATGTTCTTATTAATGATTTAAACTTTGAGGTGAAAGCAGACCAACTGCTCACCATCTGTTGTGTGTCTACTGGGAGAAGTAGTGGATGCTGTAAGGTTTGGCATAAAAGTCTGTGAAATGCTGACCTTACAGGAATATGACGCTTGAAAGAAACAGGAAGGTTAAATGTGCACTGACACATCTTAGCATGGATTAGCATTAAAGGCATTCTTCAAAATGGAAGCACTGACTTTATTATATTTGACTGACAAACTAAAAAGCAAATAAAATATAAATAGAGAACACATAATATAACATGGATTTTATTTCTGAAAACTGTTCCACTAGTTCTTTATTTTACTTTAACCCCAAAGCTGTGGCAATGTGACCTATATGTGTAAATGAACTGTAAATGAATTGGTAAGTGATTAAAATATATGGGGCAACAAAAATGTATTATCTGTAGGGTGTCTGTCACTTAGTATGAATGGCAGGTCTTCTGTATTTCTGATCATATTTTTACAGGTAGAACATGTCAAAGCAAACAATAAACCACAGTATGTTATAATATATTTGTTCTCATATAAAATTATACTAAAGAAAATCTCACCTTTATGTAAATAAATTTGGGTATTGGACTTAAGTACTGTGTCTTAATAGTTTCAAAGAATGGAACCACCTCATTAATATATTTCTAACTGTCTGAAAAGAGAGCAAGAAGATTTACTTTTGGGTGTCTAATCTGATGTATGTGAATGTCTAGTAGAGAAATAATGCCGGAAAGCATTTATCTTTGCATATTTTATGGCACCAGATTTGCTCAATTCTTGATTTCCTTTTGTATTCATAAAATTCAGTGTTGTGTGAGTATTCATTTTCAGCAGCATAAAAAAAGATGTTATATACTATGATTTGAATATAATTACTATGCAGTTTTCACTTATAATGTTCTTCTTTCTTGAAAGATACAAAGAATAGTCTTACAAAGAATATAGTTTTGACATGAAATATCTGCAATTTATTTAGAAAATATGATCAAATACACCTTTTATCACCAATTCATATTATCTTTTAGTTGTGACAGATTTATATTGCCCCTATTATTTTATACTAGAGGCCGGGTGCACAAACATTTGTGCACTCAGGGAGTCCCTCAGCCCGGCCTGTGCCCTTTGTCAGCCTGGGAACCCTCGGGGGATGTCTACCTGCCAGCTTAGAAACAAGTTGGCAGTCAGACATCTCTCTGGCAGACCAGGGGGAGCGGGCCTAAGGCTCAGGAGGATATCTTTAGTGCTGCGGACATCCCGCCACCACCACTGTGTTGCTGTCAGCCTGGCTTGTGACTGAGTGGAGCTCCCCCTGTGGGAGCACACTGACCACCAGGGGGCAGCTCCTGCATTGAGCGTCTGCCCCCTGGTGGTCAGTGCGCGTCATAGCAACTGGTCGTTCCTGGTCATTCCACCATTAGGGTCAATTGCATATTACCCTTTTATTATATAGGATATCTCCTGCATGAAATAAAAATAGTCAGGAGGAATGCTAACAATGGGCTACAATAAATTAGAGCATATTAAAGCAGTTTTGATAAAAGTATAACCACAAATATATATTATCAGCTCTTATAACTGTTCCAAGGTAAGAAAAACATGTTTAAAAGTCAGTCTAAAGTTTAATAAATTAACTTTTAGACATAAATAGATTATGCAAATAGGGAGCTCTTATGAAGAGGTGGAAGAAGACTACAAGTTTAAAAAATTAATAACATGTTAGATTGTGAAGGGTTTATTATGTAAACCAAGCAATTTTCATCAGATTATTAAATACTAATAATCTTAAATTATATTATAGTAAGTTAAAATTAAATATTTGACTTTTCTTTATTTTTAAACATTGTTTATATAGAATAAGCAAATTCATTATATTATGCTAGAGCCCCAGCGCATGAAATCGTGTGAGACCCAGACCTGGTGCGCCGCAGGACCCAGCATCAAGTCCTGCCGGCACCGCAGGACCCATCAATGCACCTCCTGGTGACGAGTCTTTGGTTGTTACGGCATAACGACCACTGGGTTTTTATTATATAGATATTTGTAATATTTATTTATTTATTTTTAAGATTTATTTTTTAATTGATTTTTAGAGATTGAGGAAAGGAGAGGGAGAGAGAGTAACGTCAATGTGAGAACAATACATCAAACTGCTGCCTCCTGTATGTCCCTACCAGGGATTGAGTCCATAACCTGGGCATGTGCTCCAACTGAGGACTATACCAGCTGTCTCTTGGTGTATGAGATGATACCCAACCAACTGAGCCACATTGGCCAGAGCTATATTTGTAATATTTAAATGTCAACATTCTTCCTGCTCCAGACCAATAATAGAAATGCAGTTATTTCATTCTTGCTATTATTTAAACTTCAAGGTTTAATATTATCATTGTCTGCAGGTTAAGTTACTGTCTTAGATTGTAAAGAATATTTGAATGGAAATGGAGTACCTGAGCAGCTGGACTCATCAAGTTGGAAGTCCATGCAGTTGGCAAAACCATCACAGCGCTCGTGAACGGGGATACAGCTGTTAGAGGAGGTGCACAGCAGAGCTCCCTCAGAACAGCTGACATTGGCTGGAAAAAAAGAATCATCATCATCTTCTTTTAAAAAATAAATTTTTCTAATGAAATAATACAATTTATTGTATTATCCTTCATTTATTAGTTCTATATTTAAATTATATATTCAATGTAATAAGTTGAACATTTTTCAAAGTGTGTTGATGGAATCATTTCTCAGCATTACATTATGTGTAAAATGCATCATATGTACTATGTATTCTGAATTGATTTTAGACTAGAGGCAAATTTACATCAAAGAAGATCTCTGTTATTCCTCTAATGTCCCCAATATTATGTGCAACTGAACCGATAGGTATTGTACCTCGCTTGAATGTGCATCAATTTCCAACTGAGTTATAAGTTATGAGTAGTACTAGGTGCCCATTAGATCTGGGTGTTGATGTGGTCACTCAGCTCATTGTGCTATGACGGTGTGACCTTATAGCACTGTGTCAGTGCATGATGCAGGTATTTTGTAAATCCCAGAGTCTCTTATTAGCCTGACTTCAAGAAACAAGCATAAGTCTTATTCACAAAACTGATTTTTTTCAGAAAAATGTCTTTATTGATTCCTGTCAAGGGTACTGACAGTTTAATGGAGTCTAGTCCTAAAAATTACTGGATTTCCCTTGGATGCTCTCTTAGTCCTTAAACTGTAGTGTTGTGTTCCTCCCTCTTGTTCTCTAGTCTCTTTAGGATTGTGACTTCCTATAAAGCAGGAGGCTATGTTTTAGATTCCTTCTATGAGTTAGGGCTGACCCAGAACATTTCATTCTAGGCCATCATGTGTCTCTGTTCTCCTGATTACTTAAAAACCTAGAACCAGCAGGCCTGAGTTTCAGGCCTGATCTCTATTTTCTCTGGTTCTACCTCTGTTTTGTTCCATGCCAATATTTAATGTCTTCAAGGCCTTTTGTGTGATAGCTCTTCTCTCTAGCATTGCTGTGTTTGGAATAGAGGGAAAGTGTCAAAGCATGAACCCACTGCACCATCTTCTCAGAAATACAAGATAGGTTTAGAAAGCAATAAATAATAATGATATTGGCCTACACTGTTTCTCTAACCTGGTTCCTTTAAGTCATAGTGTTATGCAGAGGTAATGTGAAAGACAGGAATGATCAGCCAGGGCTTCTGGGGCTTACCCTAAGTTCAACAAAAATAGCTCTGCTTAATGATACGATATAATATCTTATTTGAACGTTTCAATTCAAATCTGCTAAAATTTTTAAAGGATTGATCTAGGAAGTTACTTCTACTAGAATAAAGACAACTAAGTTCAAACTTCTCAAGCTAAATGGAAGTTTAGAAGACATGGGAATAGAGATCTCCAAGTATGGTTCTTGCACAGATTTTGTCAGTTATTTTAAAATATTTTATTTTCTTTAAACATATCTGTGGGCTGTTTAGAGTTATCATAGGATATTAGCACAGTTTAGTTTGAGAACTGCCTATCAAAAATTTATTTTCAAGTTGGACATAAAAATGGTATTTCTAAGAGTTTGTATTTTCATTGATCAAAATGCTGGCTCTGAACAATTAAAGTGACAGTCTTCATTCAGCAATCCTTCTTGAGGTGCTGGAACATCAATTCAACACCAATAAATATTATTAAGCTGTCACTACATGTAAGATACTAGGCTTAGCACTTCAAATGAAGAGTACAGGGGAGACATATATATAAAGAGACATCAGAATGAATAAAGCAACAATAGCAAGATAACAATACAAGAGTGACCAGCAGTTCAAAACAATAATAAAAGATATGCCATAAGGTCAGATTTAGTTGGTAAAGTACTGGTATAGGTAAGCATTATAAAAGCAATAGATTCTTTGGTATAGGGAGGTCTATAAAGACTGAAAGAAGAGTACAGTCTTGAGATGTGTTTTAAATTTTAATGTTTCCAGAGAAAAGCCATTTAACGGAGTGGTAATCTATAGACAGAGAATCAATAAATTTGATATTAGAACCATGAGTAAAGCAGTTTGCCTTTAACTGGGGAATTGTGTAAGAAGGTGGTACAAACAAACCTAAAAAACAAGGCTGAAACCAGTTTGTAGAAATGGCTAAGGTCCCAAGGGAAAAGATAATCTTTAAGTTTTTCTAAAGGTTTAAAAGATTTTAGGATATACATTGACAAGATAAATCATATTGCAAACACATCAACTAGAAAACTGCATAATTTCCAACTCTTATAAGATCCAGAGATGTTTGCAAAATAATGAGTATGTTTATGAATGCATCTATATATCCACATGTATGAGCATGTGTGTATATATACATATTTTTATTATCAATGCATTGCAAGGAGCTGAGAGATAATATAAGATGATAGTTTTAAGGTTTTAAATAATATAATATATTGAAATTTGTAAACAAAGATAATAGATACTACTCATCTACTTATAAAGCTTTATTTTTAATCCTTTTCTCAGAAATACGAATCCATCCATATTCCCTCACCCAATTTCCAGTGGGAATGATAGCTTATTTTCAAGCTGACTATACAATGAAGATCTCTAACTTATCAGTAATATAAATTCTCAATTATGACCCAAATAGCATTAAAAGACATAAAATATACCTCTATAAGAAAAAAAATTATAAAGGGTTTTCCTTTTAATAGAGTTTTCAATTTAGACAGTTAAAAATGGACCTTTTACTTTATAAAATTGAAAACTAAAACCATAGTTTCTGTGGCATTTTAAATAGTATAGCATTAAAGTTAATGGATATTTATCAATTTCCTTTTAAATGTAGGTGGCAAATAAATTATGAATGCAATTAATATTTACTGACATATACAGCAAAGGGCATTGTACTAAATATAGGACAACAAATTGAACTATTGCTCTCTTTTTCTCTTCTATGATTAATATACATACAACAAAGAAAATTTCCAAAATTATTCCAAATAAGTTATATATAAAATTTATTACTTTTAACTTTATTTTTATTGTTGACATTATCACACATGTCCTCACACCCCCTCCCCCCCAACTTTGTCTACCTCCACTTAGCCACTGCCACCTCTTCTTTCTGGCCATGACTACACTGCTGTCTGTGTCTATGGGTTATGCATATACATAAAATTTATAGGAAACTGAGATTTCAAAATGTTTCCCTTGACAATATCTACTTTTGCCACATTCGCATTAAAACGTTATGTTTTAATATCTACAGGAATACTTATTTCAATCTGTTCTCATCCTAGATTATCTTTCTTACCTAAATGAACCAAGTAACACAGAGCATTGTGGGGCTTTCAGCTCATTCACGCAGGTACTCAGGTAGATGATACATTAAAGATAAACAATTCATGAATATTTCATTGGCATTACTTCCCTAAAGCAAAATTCCTGTTATAAATTATAATTGCTGCATAAAAAATAAACCCTAAGTAAAGCATGTATGACTATGTGTATCCATTCAGTATTAAACTAAAAAGTCATGTATACAGCCAATCAACATTTCTAACAGCAGAATAACCATGGTCCTTGGGCCTTGAAGATGAAGGCTACAACCCTTCAAAGCACAAATAAACTTATCACAGAGCAGGGTGGACATTTACTTTATTCTGGAATTAAATCCAACCACTACTCTTATTGAAATATCTTAGCAGTTTAAATAATTTTAAATAAAATGATAAAAATAATTTAATGGGAAAAGGATAATAATTTATTTGTGTATTTATGTACTTTAGCATATTAATTCATTTAATCCCCCAATACCTCTGCAAAGAAGACTTAATCACCATCATTTTTATGTTGAATAAACTAAGGAACACATATGTAAGAAGGGGAGATGTCACATGATGAAGATGATCTTTATACTATTATTGAGAATTACCATAGGACATTAAGTTCATAAGTAACATATTTAAAGGCTGATAATAAAAATACTGATTATAAATGTTGACCTACAAATCTTAGGAGCATGACCCATTCCAAGTGTTCGGTAAGTGGTATTCAACTTACTGGGACATATCAACTTCTACTGGGACAAATTAAAGTTAGAAAATAGGTAAATCATCCACTTCCCTACATGTTTTCCACAGCTGTGTTTATCATTGATGGATAGCTTCCATTTCCTCTTCTGAGTCATTCTCTACCTCCTCTTCTTGCTCTAGGCCAGCGGTTCTCAACCTGTGGGTCTCGACCCCTTTGGTGGTCGAACGACCCTTTCACAGGGGTCACCTAAGACCATCCTGCATATCAGATATTTACATTACGATTCATAACAGTAGCAACATTACAGTTATGAAGTAGCAACGAAAATAATTTTATGGTTGGGTCATAACATGAGGAACTGTATTTAAAGGGCCAGAAGTTGAGAACCACTGCTTTAGGCTCTGGGAGACTAAACTATAAGGACACATTAACAAGTTCCTTTGTCCTTTAGATTTTGATTAGGTTTAACTTTTGTTAAGGTATGGCAAATGGGTAGCACCAGCAGGAGACTAATATAAGGGAAGTGACTGTGAAATTACCCTTTAACCAAATACCACAACTTTTTTAAAAATACATTTTTATTGATTTGAGAGAGGAAGGGAGAGGGAGAGAGAAATAGAAACATCAATGATGAGAGAGAATCACTGATTGGCTGCCTGCTACACACCCCCTACTGGTGGCTGAGCCCACAACCTGGGCATATGCCCTTGACCGGAATCAAACCAGGACCCTTCAGTCCACAGGCCGACAGTCTATCCACTGAGCCAAACCAGCTCAGGCACCACAACTTTTCTTAATGGACCTCTTTGACTCCAGATTCATACAACTGTTTCTTCCTCTTACATGCTTTGGTGTGTTGATAAAAGCCCCTATTCTGCCTATCCTGTTTGGTTTCCCTATGCATAATATTTCCCTAATAAATAAGCGCTTTATTAAAATATTCTCAAATTATATAGTATCAACGAACCATCTATTTATTGACAGAATATTAATGATGTAACATCTGATGAAATCTTGAAATCTTGGTAAATAGATTGAAACCACCTTTTGCTTTTCCCAGCCTAGATATGTTTTAGGCCTAATCTCTACAAAACATTCCAACCTGAGGACACTCTGATAATTACAGCTTTTTATTGTCAGATCATCAATCTCTTTTTATTGTCCTGAGGTGTCTATGTCCTCATCTCAGTGTCTTTTAATGCTTGGTTTCCTTAACTGTATTTTAGATGTTCCTTAGGATTTTGTCTGCCACTTTCTCTTTTTACTCTTTATTATCTCATCTACATCACAGTTTTAACCATCATATGTTGATGGCCATGTATCTGTATAGATCTTGCTTTATCTCTTTCCAGAGCTCCAGATATTCATTTCTAAATACTTTCTGAATATTTCTGTGGATGTGCCCCAGATACCACAGATGTAACATGCTTAAAAATGAAGCCACCACCTTACCGTAACAAGTCCTTCTCTTCCTATTTTCCCCAGTTCAGGAAATGGTAGATCAGTTGTCCTGGTGCCTAAATCCGAAACTTAGAAACTATTCTTGATTATTTTCTCTTCCTCTTCACCTGAATGTCTCTTAAATCTATTCCTATCTTTGCCACACACCATTATTTAACCAATGCCTTTATATTTTGACTACAACATTTCCTAAGCAGTCCTCTTCCTTGCTTCAGTACATTCCACACGCTACTTAAAGGGTTGGGTAGCCCTGGCATGATGGGGAGGCCTCTTCAAGATTGAGTCCTTGCTTGCCTCTCCAGACTTATTTATACAGTTCCCACCGCAAATTACTCTAGTTATATGAAATGTGCTTCAAAGAACCTTTTCACTATTCTTGGAACATTCTTCACTGGAATTAAGGATCTCTATTTGCCCAATGACTACTTGTCTTTCCAAATTTGGCTCTTTTTAAAGTTTACCGACTCCCTAGCACCATAGTTAGAGTTGCCTATATATTCAATAACCCTGTATCTATCTCTCTCACAAAACTTATCGCATGAAATTCCCAACTATCACTTACCAGTCCCCTTCAGTAATATAAGAAGTGTCTATAAACTGGACTGTACAATGCCAAATACACATGAACCATAAATGTCCAATACAATAAGTGGCATAAATTGTGTTCCTATTGACAGTTTGTGAACAAGTGAATGAATGAATGTGAGTTTACAAAATATCATTCTAAATCAGTAGGTAAGCCCAGGAAAAATAATTATTCCGCCTTGGGAGGAAATTTCCATCATTGGATGTTTTTATTTTGTAATTTTGTTCCAGCATTTTGTCCATTGTTCATTTTCACACAATTTACCCTATAGAGTCAGAACTCTTAAATATTTTAGAGAGGGGTAGAAGCAATTCTCTCATGATAGCAGTCTATTCCTAATGTGGACTTATTTTCCTTTAGGAGCAGAACTTCAGATATTGCTACCTCATCAAACACCAATTTCTAACAAATCTCTAAAAGTATAAGGATACAGTACTTTCCTAAGCATTGCTATTTAAAGTCAAACATCACATGATTATATTGAACTTACTATGATTCCTATCAGCCAAATAACAATAAAACCTTGATGGGAAAAGAAATAAGTAATTAGCCAGACTTTTTCTTTTTTATTCATTTCCATTTGTTTACCTTGCCTCTAAGAAAATATTGTAAGACTTGACAAGTTGGCTTTATTACAGAAAGAATATACTTGTATTTAATAACAGGGAGATAGAAAACCAATCTCTAAGTTTCAGCCAGGAAAAGAAGTTCACTGATTTAAGGATGAAACCTTTTTTATTTTACTTTTAAATTTACAGTTAAGGCTGAAACCTTTAAGCATTCAAAGGCTGCCTTCCTTTTCCTTCATTCATCTTCAGTTTTTTCCAATAGTTACTATAATTCTGGATGCCCACACTAAATAGGGCACTGATATTGCCTTATATTTATTTCATTGTTCCCCTCTTACAGTTACATTCCAAAGTGCTTTTTACTATTTCAAAAAAATGTGGTCATTAACATATGGTTTATGGAGCTCTATCATTGCAGCCCTTGCCAAAAATAGAGTATAAATAACATACTATAAGATCAAGCGAATAAAAATAATTACATAAAATATTAATGGTGCTTTGATCCCATCACAATTATGTGCTTACCTTAAAGTTTTGCGTAATTAACTAAAACTCTTCCTTTCCTTTCTGACATAGGCTAATTATAATGAAAATAGAAGGTGCTAAATAAAAGGGCTTGGGATTTTACATGTATTCTCTCAAATCCTCACAGCCCTGAAAGGTAGGTATTATATGAATGAGGAGACTGACTCAAATAACTTTCCCAAGACTGCACAGGTAGTAACAAGGATGAGATTAAACCTATATCCTTAGGGTTTACACAGATTCTTAATGAAATGATATTTGCCCAGGTAGTTGTCCAGGTCTAGCCCCTAACTTCACATATTCATTGAAATGAATATTTTCCCATAGCGCTTTGCTTGATCCTCTTCATTAACATTTATGGTGGGAAGAAATGATAATTACATGTCTTTAATCCATTTCCATAAACATTTGTTAAAAAAAATTAACCAATACATAAGACCATCCCCATATGAATGACACAGAGATGAGTAAGAAAGGAAATCAGATAAGTTTAACAGAGATTAATGTGACTACACAGATAGAATGCTTCCAGAGATGCTAAACAAGGGCTATATGTTTTGTTTAGGAACACAACACAAAGAACTATGTTATTGATGATATGGTCATGGTATGACTCTAGAGAATTTTGTTTTATTTGTCAAGCTCTCTTGATCATTCCCAAACAGCATTTCTTCCCTGGCACATTAAGTTAGTGAAATGACTCACAGCAGCTGGATTCATCTTCATTAAAGTGGCAGTCAGGCACTCCATCACAGAGCAGGAGGGATGGGATACACTTGTGGGTAGAGCACTGGAACTCCCTATTACCGCAGAGCTGAGGAGGAGGGCTGAGAGAACAATCTATTTCATCCGATCCATCTATGCAATCCTCCTGTCCATTACATTTCCCTGAGAGGGGGACACACTGGAGTGTGTAGACACAAGAAAATTGATCAGCTTCACAAGGTGGTGGCTGTGTTGTGACAGGACCTGAAAAGAGAGCATATCAAGTCACTTTTGGCATTAGGAGAGTTATATCTCTGTCTAGTGTTGAAACATTGTCAGCTATATTTATTCTTTATTAAACATAAAATATTTTGGTAATTTAAGTCAATTAATTTCCAATTAGGAATTATATGAACTCCACAAAACATACAAACATGATTAAGAGAAATTGCCTTATCTAAATCTCAGAAACAAGTCTTTTTATTTTCTTTGTTGATTAAGGTATTACATATGTGTTCTTATCCCCCCATTGCCCCCCCATCCCCCCATTCATATCCTCACCTCCCTGGTGTCTGTGTCCATTGGTTAGGCTTACATACATGCATACAAGTCCTTTGGTTGATCTTTCTCCCTTACCCCCACCCTCCCCTACCTTCCCTCTGAGGTTTGACGGTCTGATTGATGCTTCTCTGTCTCTGCATCTGTTTTTGTCCATCAGTTTTTTTTGTTCATTATATTCCACAAATGAGTGAGATAATGTGATATTTATCTTTCTCTGACTGGCTTATTTTGCTTATTAAGCCTTAGTATAATGCTCTCCAGTTCAATCCATGCTGTTGCAAATGGTAAGAATTCCTTCTTTTTTTACTGCAGCATAGCATTCCATTGTGTAGATGTACCACAGTTTTTTAAAACTCATCTGCTGATGGGCACTTAGGCTGTTTCCAAATCTTAGCTATGGTAAATTGTGCTGCTATAAACATAGGAGTGCATATACCATTTCCAATTTGTGTTTCTAGTTTCTTTGCAAAGCCACTGTTCTCAAAACTGCCTGGTACTGGCACAAGAACAGACATATAGACCAATGGAATAGAATAGAGAACCCAGAAATTGACCCAAACCACTATGCTTAATTAATATTTGACAAAGGAGGCAAGAACACACAATGGAGTCAAGACAGTCTCTTCAATAAACGGTGTTGGTAATATTGGACAGATACATGCAAAAAAATGAAACTAGACCACCAACTTACACCATACACAGCATAAACTCAAAATGGATAAAGGACTTAAACATAAGATGGGAAACCATAAAAATATTAGAGGAATCCACAGGCAACAAAATATCAGACATATGCTGAAGCAATATCTTCACTGATACAGCTCCTAGGGCAATGGAAACTAGAGAAAATAAACAAATGGGACTACATCAAAATAAAAATGCTTCTGTACAGCAAAAGAAACAATCAAAACAACAAGAAAGCCCACTGCATGGGAGAACATATTTGCCAATGTTATCACCGATAAGGGTTTAATCTCCAACATTTACAGGTAACTCATACAACTTAACAAAAGGAAGATAAACAACCCAATCAAAAAATGGGAAACGGACCTAAATAGATACTTTTTGAAAGAGGACACTCAGAAAGCCAAGAGACATATGAAAACATGCTCAAAGTCACTAATCATCCGAGAGATGCAAATCAAAATGACAATGCGGTACCATCTCACACCTGTCAGAATGGCCATCATCAACAAATCAACAAATGACAAGTGCTGGCGAGGATGTGGAGAAAAAGGAACCCTCTTAGACTGCTGGTGGGAATGCAGCCACTGTGGAGAACAATATGGAGTTTTCTCAAAATACTAAAAATGGAACTGCCATTTGACCCACTTCTAGGAATATGTCCCAAGAAACTAGAAACAACATTCTGTTTTTACAGATGAGGATAGTGAGGTCCATAAAATTTGAGTGTACAAAGATACAATGCCAGTTGATAAACTTTTACTATGTGGAAGTATTCTGCAGCAACTCTAAGTCAAAACTTAAAATATAAGCAGAGTCCTGTATATTCACATATATTCTCTAGAGGTCAGAGAATATATGTGAATATTCAGGACTGTATTATTCTCTGGAATATTAGTGGAATTAAATATACAGGGCTGTATTAATTTGCTAGAATATCATTAAACTGTTCTTATTATTCACATTGTTCTGTGACAGTTGTTGATGCGCACATCAGTATATTAAGCGAAAAAAACAGATAGCATTGGGGACCAATTCAGAAATAGTTTATTTTGTGTTCTTTACATTTTAAACTTTTAATTTATAAAATATATGAGAATTATTTGTTTTATCTATAAAGATGGTTGTGTGAATTCATTTTAAAAATGAAATTTGAAAGTTCTCCCTCTCCAGTGGTGGTGGTATATTCAGAATGCATTTAAACTCAAACACTATGATCAAACTCTATGTATCTGAGATCTATTTGGTATCTCAGAGAGTCTTTGTTCATGAAAACCAACATATTTAATATTTGGAGACGTAAACATTTTGAAACATTAGTACCATTTTTTTTTCACTTCTTACTGCAGCACTTTTATTTTCCTCACAATGACGTGTTGCTGGGGCCTAATGTTCTCACATGACAGTAGAAAACCAAAATTTGTCATTTCTGAAAGAATCGCATACAAAAACCTTACATAAATTAAAAGGACGAAGATTTACAGGTGGAAATGCAGACCGTTTTCCAACTCAAGGCAAGTAACAGCCCAGGAGTTCTGGCATAGCAGCATATAATATTGCAGTGTTCCAATGTCAACATTGTAAATTCAAACTTAGAAAGTAAACCGGGCTTTGCAATATATATATATATAAATACAACTATATATTTAAAGCCATGGTCAATTAAATAGTTTCTCTTCATTCTTTTTGTTGGATTCATCTCATATTTAAGGAAGGGCAGACATCCTTACTTTTAATTTTTTTCTAAAATATTTTATTCACTAAATATTTATTTTTTGAACTAAACAAGGGTTAAAAAAATTGAATGAACATTTTTGCATGTGATGAAAATCTAGTTTTATTTTAAATCTAGTTTTATTTTGAGGTAGCAATGTCATCAAATTTCAGAGCCATTTATACCAAAAGGTACTCACAACTCACTTATTCTAGACCCTTCTAAACAAAAAAGCTGAGGCACTTGTACTGTCTATAAAGGATTCTGTGTTCTACTGCCAGTAGTGGATTCCGTCTGCTGGGGTTCTTGTTCCGGCAGTAAGAAGGGTTCAGTAATCTGGAGAAGAGGCTGTGCGTAACTTAATAAAGAGTCCAGAGACGAAGCATAATTTTGAAAGGCATTTGGAGGTCAAAGGAGCCTAGCTAAAGTAACTAAGATCTCCTTGTCTCAGGACCCCTTGCTTTTTATTAACACAAATTGTCCTGAGGCAAGGCAGAGATATACACATCAAAGGGTCAGGTTTCATTTACAGAGTCCATTGTCAGATTGGAAGAATTTGCCTACGGCTGTTCAGGTGTTTGGCCAGTAGGAGGCAATAACATGTAGATTAAGATGCCCTGAGCTGTCTGGCAGCAGGCAATCAATTTAATGCATCCTTTTCAGGTTTGAGGAAATGCCTTTAGCCACTCCAGATTCAGCCCTGCTGTCATGCTGGAATTGGCTTCTGGCACATCTTCCATCAGGATTAAGGTGTTCATTCTCACAACTGCCAGGAAATTACCAGATGACAACTCACAAATGAGTTCAACTCTAGGAATTTCCCTCTAAGTTCCACTGCCTCACAAAAACAGCTCCATTCATTGACTGGTTAATTGTGGATAAGATGACCCAACCCATATGTCTCAATTTGGGACAACTATGAGGACCATTATAGCCCTAGAGTTCCCCATGGCAGCCACTGAGTCCCACTATTGCACCTGCATCACAGCTCAACCCTCCCTCTGCCCAGTCCTGTTCCTTCACTTCACAAGGCTTGTTCCTGGGAGAATTTCCAATAAACCTTCTAATGGAAATCTTTGCCTCAGAGTTCACTTCTCTGGGAACCCAATCTAAGATACTATCCAACAGTCAAAATATATCTTGTCTTAAATTAAATCTCCCTTGAATCACTCCTCAAATTTTCCACTGAAATATTTCTAACGTAAGAGAATATTAACTTGCACCCTTCTGGGAGTCTAAGTAGGCTCTTAGCCGGAAGCACTTCTCTGTAAGTTCAACATTTCTTTTAAGTCTCTTGTTTTATCTAGTGAATGTTCTGCATATAGATGTTTTTTTAATATAAAAGCTTCCTCCAGTTCTCATTTCAAATAAAATGATTACTCATGGAAGATGAACTATGTTTATCTTTTGAATTGAAAGTACATATTCTATATTCTCTCTTTGAGAAGTTAATAAATTTTCCAAAAATTTAATATCAATATATTTATATTTTAGTGTCACCCTTGAAGTTACCTAATTCTTATAGGTCATATCTTTTTATATAATTCCGTAAAAAAAATGAACAGGATTAATTGTTCCCTGTTTTAAACTGAAAAATCTTAGCACCACCTTAAATGCATATTACTAAGTGAGAATAGTCAATCTAAGAAGGGTACATGTTGTCTGATTCTGTCTATATAACATTCTAGAAAAGGCAAAACTGTGGCTAGAATAAAATGATCAATGGCTAGCAGGAGCTGAGGGGAAGGAAGAGTTGAGTACATAGAGCACAGAGGATTTCCAGAGCAGTGTCATTCTGTATGACACTGTAACCATGGATACATGCCATGCCATAGGCTGAGTGTCTGTGCCTCCCCAGATTTCCCATGTTGAAACCTCATCCCCCATGTCATGATATTTGGGGATGGCCCCTCGGGAAGTGATTACGTCATGAAGCCCTCGTGAATGGATTAGTGACCTTGTAAAAGTGGCTGAAGACAGCTACCTTGCTCCTTCTGCCTCCTGAGGACACAGCAAAAAGGCACTATGAGGAGGCAGTGTTTTCTGGACACCAAATCTGAGTGTGGAGGGAGATGGGTATACATGAACTCTCTGAAATTCCACTTAATTTTGCTTTAAAACAAAAACTTCTCTAAAAATTATATACAACATAAATACACACACACACATATATAAAATGTATACTTTATATGAATTTTAGCATCAATATCCCCCAGAACATATAATTGACATATAATCTAGCTGTACTGCATGCTTTATGCTTTTCTTTTTGTAATTTCTATGTTCAGTGAGCAGCTTAGTCAGG